CACTACAGACTGGATTCATGAATCTATTTATTTAATTGAGCAGTCTAGCTATTTATTTATCATTGTATTTTTATTAACACCATGCTCTGCTGCATATTCAGTTTAGGTAAAGGTAAAGGTTCCCTTTGACAATTTGTCCAGTTGTGTCCGACTCTAGATGGTGGTGCTCATCTCCGTTTCCAACCCATAGAGCTAGCATTTGTCTGCAGACAATCCTCCTTGTTCACGTGGCCAGCCGGACTAGACACAGAACACCGTTTACCTTCCCACCGAGGTGGTACCTATTTATCTACTCTCATTTTTGCATTTTGCATGCTTTTGAACCCCTAGGTTGGCAAGAGGTGGGACAAGCACTGGGGGCTCACTCTGTTGCATGGATTCAAACTTATGACTGCAGGTCTTCTGACCTTGCAGCACAGAGGCTTCAGTGGTTTAACCTGCAGCACCACCACGTCCAGTTTACAAAACAACAAATATGAAAATACCCTTATTGCTCCTTTTAAAAAACTAAAACTATTTGAAACAAAATAAGGAATAGCTGCACAAAATAAAATGGCACAACATGTATCAATAACTATTGATGGATTGTTTGTTCTTATTTGCTGATGGTGTTTCAGGTTGCTACAATGAAATGGATCTAAAGCCTGTCTCTATGGATGGAGGGCTATATATGTAATGAAGATGCCTCTCCAATTTTAGGGAACGTGCTCCCTGGATCACTCATCTCACCGTCTGCATTAATGAGTTGTCCTGTGTATAGCAAGTTCAGAAGGTTGCAGAGGAAAGGAGGGGGCTGGACTTCTGCCAGCGCAATTGCATGTATTTAAATCTAGGTCCAACTGAAGCTTCATCCATCCATGCAGGACATTCAAATCAGCCCAGGGCCCATTTTGCGTCATTGTCACCTGAAGAGATGTAAAGGGAACTGTGCACTGCTCCCCTGATTTGGTCAAAGACCAAATGAGAGCACACAAATCAAGATCCCATTCCCTGCCCTTTTGGGGATACAGTACTTCAATCTGACCCATTTCTGGGGTCAGAAGGCATGGTTTGGTGCTCTGGCACTTTGGTCATGTTCTGGGCCTGATCTATACATATGAGGATATATAGAGATCCGGACAGCAGGTCAGCTTATGGGTAAATTAAGCTTATGGCTGCATGGCATGTGCCGCTATGGTTTCCAACACCTTCCCACTATTCTGTCTCCCTTTCCCCCATCCCACCACCAAATTTTGCTACTTGAAATGGCCATATCACTGTGTCTAATGGTAGGACTGGCCCTAGTCACGGATAATATTTATACTTTCTATGAGGTGTCACTCCAGGGCACTGTGAGGAATTAAAAGTGGCAGTTGACACTGCTCCAAGTACCACTCTCTCTGCTTGCTGTTGTCTGTTGAGCAGAACTTGGAGAAGTTAGGATCACAAATCCCAAAGGATCCAGAGAACTGCAGTCCAAAAAGGAACTTTTCCAAGTGCTGTCCTGCTCTGAGTAAGACTTTGACTGCTAGTTTGACGAACAGAGCAGCATGATTTGGGTAGGGAAATGGTGAGCATGAGCAATCTAGTAACCCTATTGGATCTACCCAAGTGTGAGTGAATAAGTGAGTGTGGATGCGGCTGTCTGTGTAAGGCAATGTTTCCCAACCTTGAGTCCCCAGATGTTCTTGAACTAAAACTCCCAGAAGCCTTCACTATCTGTGCAGGCCAGGATTTGGGGAATTGTAGTCCAAGTACATCTGGGATCCCATGGTTGGGTACTGCTGGTATAAAGAGCAGAAGGGGAAAAACATAAAAATGCCTATCTATCTATCTATCTATCTATCTATCTATCTATCTATCTATCTATCTATCTATCTATCTATCTATCTATCTATCTATCTATCTATCTATCATCTGTCTGTCTGTCTGTCTGTCTGTCTGTCTGTCTGTCTGTCTATCTATCTATCTATCTATCTATCTATCCTTTTGGGGATACAGTACTTCAATCTGACTCATTTCTGGGCCAGTATTTGAGAGACATGGTTTGGGTACTGCTGGTATAAAGAGCAGAAGAAGGGGAAAAACATAAAAATGCCTGCCTGCCTGCCTGCCTGCCTACCTAATCTGATCTGATCTAATCTATCTATCTCCACCCCACCTTTGCCTGCCTGCCTGCCTGCCTACCTAATCTGATCTGATCTAATCTATCTATCTCCACCCCACCTTGCTCCATGAAAGGATTCAAGACAGCTAATGCTCTACGTGCCAATGAGATCTGAACAAACATATTGTCATTTTTCCATTGTGGTAGAAAAAGAAAATCTGTGCATTGCTGTGTAGGAGGAGGCATGTTAATAGTGGATCATGATTCATTTCAGAAAGTCACTGATTTTTGCAAAATTAAACAGGGGCCTCTTATTTTCTATTCCCATTTCTGAACCTCTTGTTTCCTACCATGGTAGGAAGGATGATATTAAAAGGCATCCAACACATACAGATTAAAACATTACCAATCATCAAACAAATGTTCATTGGGTAACTGCATACTGAAAACACATTGCAGATTGAACTGTTGTCCTATGATGCCTCTGAATGAAGCACGATAGACATCATGCTGTTAGCGATTGATCCTTCAATAGACAATGTTGCTTAAATATTACCAGTACAGTGTGTCTCCAGTGCTAAAGATCAATACATCCCATAACTTGTTAAAATGTGCTGCAAATGGGTTGTTAAGTACTGAATGTATGTGAACATTGCCTTTTCCAGCTGTCTATTCATAGCTGTTGATTTTTAAAATAATTCAATTCCTTCACTATCACAGTAAAGAACTCTAGGACAAGAGACCTCAAAAGGATTGCTAAGACAGTCCTTCCAAGTCCTGTGTTTTCTACATATGTGACAGACAAGGCATCCCATATACGTCTGCTCAGAATTCACTCTCACTGGTTTCAGTAGGGCTGATGCTGTAGTGCCCATGGGGAAGAAAGGCAAGGAGATCCCATTAATGGGGTATGCAGCAGTATTCCTTTTTGTGCTTAAGATGGTGGGAAATGATTAAAACTGTGGGACACTGACAAGGCATCAGAGGTTACTTGAGGATACATGAGGAAAGCTTCCTATGCTGGAAGCTGGCGGAAATCAGTCATACCTGATGTCAGTCATTCAGCCAAGTACAGAGTTCCTTACTACAGATCTTTTTGGGTGAGGCATTCAAGATGTAACGATGTTTATCCAGATCGGACAGTCCTAGCAGATGTTATGCTTCGATGTCCAACTCTGCTATCCTTTGATGTCTGGTTTTGTTATCAATTTCCCAGTTAGTAAGATACTTTATCATTTTGCCAATGTCCTTTGATGTCTGGTTTTGTTATCAGTTTCCCAGTTAGTAAGATACTTTGTTATCATTTTGCCAGTTGGTGAAACAGAGACATCCAACAAATTGACTGTACAGTGAGTACAGAGACATCCAACAAATTGACTGTACAGAGAGGGGCTCAATGAGCAGGTGCATCCTCTGAAAAGGCATCTAAGGGCCATAATTTGGGCATGGCTAAGTCTCAGCCTAGACCAGATTTTGGACAGTACTGCACAACTGACTCCAAGGAGTCACCTGTGGCTGCTCATCAGAGGCCCTCAGTGTGCAGAAGGGTTCTGACTTTCTCCCTACTTTATTCTTCTACTTCTTTTGCTTTTCACGTTACTCTTTCATGTCTCTTTAATAATGTTTTCTGCCTCTTCCTGCATGGATGCGTTCACCAAATTGAAAAGGACCATTGTCAGCCTTGACAAGACAGACTGCCGGGCAAGTCAAGGATACTGCAGTCTTATGCTTTTTTTACTAAGACCTACTGTCTTCAATGTGATTTACTCTGAGTCTAGCCTTCTGTTTCAAAGCCATGGTATCATTTTTCAATTTCTTTTTTTTAAAAAATTGGTTGATATCCCTCTTCCAACTGATTCCAGAAGTTTAGCTTGCTTAAATCCTGGGAATGTGCCTGGTGCTGTTCCCTAATCATTTTATTCCTCCTCCCCCTCTCATTAAATGACCAAGTCCTAAGCTACCCAGGCTTTCAAAATCATTAGAAACACCTTGACTGGAAACATATTCTTTAAAACCACGTGGTTTCTATTTGCAGAGCCCATTGCAGTAACCTAAAAGACAAATTTCTAGCAAATCTTAGAACATAATAATCTTAGAACTGCAGGGCTTTGAGAGACCCTATAGATCACTGAGTCCAGCCCTGTCAAGGAGGCACAGTAGGGATACCCTACAGCCAGATACCCAAACCACTGCCTAAATTACTGGGTTGTCCCTTTGAAGTAATGGCTATAGCCGGTCAGGCAACTGAAGATAGCTCCAGTTGTTCCAAGCCACTAAGTCTACCTGGGTTCTGGGGGGGACACAGATTGATCTGGTACCCTTAAGAGACACGTTCGCTCTCCTAGAGGGCAAACCCCTCTAGAACAGCTTGTCTTCTTGATTCTTGGAGCACAGCACCAGGTAGCCTCCGTTTAATCCATCCTTTCCAGGGGTGGCCAAGTGACACTGACTTCCATGGTGTTTGAATTAATTTATTCCATAGCTTGTAGTGTCTAATTTAGTGACTTGTTTGGGGGTATTTTGGATCCTGATAGCTAAAGAAATAGACTTTCAGAAGAATAAAAAAAATAACACCGCTCCCAAATCATTGGAAGCCAAGGGATTAAGGGAAAGAATCTGTAAACGTGCTTCCCGTGAAATCAGAATGAGAGGTGGGCAGCCTTTTCTTCTTCCAGGGCTCCCTCGCCCCCATGTGCCTAAGATCAGCTCCCCCTGCCTGCTCTAGACCGCCTTGTGCCCCCACCAGCGGCTGTCCATCTGCCGCCCCAAAGGGGCAAAAAGTTAGCTTTCCCTGCCTCGCGTCCCTGCCCTACCTCCCTCTCTCGCACATGCTCCATAAGCAGCTCGGGCATGTGCAGTAGCCTTGCCGGGCTGCTCCGGCGCACGCCTCCAACCTCG